CATGTCTGCCCCACATGAACTTGTAGTCATCCCTGGAGACCTTTTTGAAACACGATCTCCTCGCTGAAGCTTTTGTGGATCCCTGTCAAATGTTTGTAAATTGCCTTGTTCTGTTGTGAGTTCCTATCGCAGACAGGCTTGAATTAAAGTGAAGTTGTTCCTATCAGTTTCCGCCTTTAGATGAATCATTTTTAAAGTTCTGTTTTGATTCTTTAAAAAAAATACTTTTATTGATTTCAGAGAGAGGAAGTGAGAGAGAGAGAGAGATAAAAACATCAACGATGAGAGAGAATCACTGATTGTCTGCCTCCTGTACTCCCCCTACTGGGAATTGAGCCCACAACCCTTGGCATATGCCTTGATGGGGAATAGAACTGTAACCTCCTGAGCCATAGGCTGATGCTCAACCACTGAGCCACACTGGCTGGGCTGATTCTTTTTCTTTCCCATCAGGGAATCTTGCTCAGTTTACCCTCTGATTCAAGTTGGGCTCCCCCAGAAGGAGATCCTGAGATAAGGATTTTGTGCAAGTAATAATCTCTGTGGGGAGGGAATCCCAGGCAGTGCCTTCCAGGGAGCTGGGCACTGAGACAGGGAAGGGGAGGGAGCCGGGACAGGTGCAGCGCTGAGCAGGTAACTGCAGCGCCCGGGCTCATCCCCTCTGGGACCCCCGTGAGGCGAGAGGCGCTGTAGAACATGCCTCGGGGTTGCACCTGAAGGCAAGGACGCTGGAGAGTTAGTCCCCAACATCAGTCAGTCAGTCAAAGGTTGAGGGCTGATCCACGGGGCCAATACAGTCAGCAGCCAGAAGGCCCCTCACGGAGAGTTGCGGATATTTGCAGCCGAGAGCTCTGGGTGGACAGAGAAAAATGAGAGCTGAACACACGGCTGGTATCTGCAGGGATCATTCACACAAAGTATTTTTTACTTGAAGTCATACACAGTAATGAAAGCGTCTCCCTCCTCCCCCGAGACCATAAAGAGAAGGTGGGATTTGAGAAGGAAAGGCGCATATCACCAGAGGGGAGGGTGGCAGGGGCCTGGGATTTTTATTAAATGTACCTCGGGTTTTTAGCTAATATATTTTAATGGCGAACATATTAAAAACCAGGGTCTAGGATTTATAGCGGCTGTAAGGAAAGTGAAAAATAACAAGGCCCTGGGGCCGACTGGGTTTAGTAAGTGCCACCAGCGGGAGGAAGGGCCATAAAACCTTATCACAGACCATGGGAGGCATTAGCCACACGGTTAAGTCGGGAGAATTTCCTCACAAACCAGGACGCGCAGAGCCCGTTTAATAAAGGATGCGGAATCTGGACGGCTTCTTAGTTTAGGAATGTTACCCGAAGTCTTAAAAAGCAGCAAATGCGTTTTACGCGAAGCACATGCATCCCAGCAGGCTTAGCTGATTCTTTCCCAACGGGGAAAACAGCGAACGGCTTCTTTTCATTCCATTTTCCATGTTTGTGGCACTCGCTGTCCTCTGAGCCTCTCTTCCCGTAGGCTCCTTGTCCCCCATCCTGGTACTGGCTGTGTTTTAGAGCGATTTTTGGATCTGTGGAGTAGGCCAATTCTTCAAGAAAATGTACTAGTGTTGAGCTGCGGTCACAGTGCCTGAGTTTTCGAGTGTTTTGGTGATTCATTGGCCACACATATATAAAGAAACATCTCTGCTTGAGAAGGTGTATATTCTCTTACTCACCTGACAGTTCTCATCACAAAGAACATGATAAAATTAGAGGGAGGCGTAGTGTTGGGAGGCTGGTGTTACTTTACCTTTAAACCACACGTTGGTTGGTTTTCCTGTTTCCAAATCATATTCTTAGCAGACTGCCATCCACTCCAGCAGTTTCATTCATTATTAGACCAAGTCCAAGAGAGTGAAACTTTAACCTCTGCTTCTAACCACTTCGCGTTGGTTTTATCTGTAATGAACTTGTAAAAGGCATCTGATGACAGATTCTTTCTTATGCTCCAATTACCTAACTTCGGAGGTCCTCCAAGGGGTTTAATTTAACCACTTTATACTGCAAAGTGTCATGAGGTAGAGCAGGAATATAAACTGAGAATCCCAGGAGTTTTAGCAAGGAATCCCAGAGAGCATTACCGGAGGAGCCCACCTGGGGAATGTTGGTAGAGCCTTGACTGGTGTGGTTAAGCCTGGGGTACACCCTGGTCAAAAGAATACAGCGCCTCAACCAACATTTGCTGCAAAGTAATTTAAATACCTCACATCTCTCAAAGGCAATGCTTTTAAAATGCCTCCTCCCACTTCTCTCCCATCCACTGGGCGTGTTCTGCCGGTGTATCTGGGCCCTGAGTTTTCAAATGTCTCACCTAGAAAACTCCCCTCGCACCAGCCCTCCTATTTCCTATGCTCTTCTCCCCTCTATACACCTGATACATCCCAGAAAAACCCTACATGAGCCAGTCTGGCAGAAGTAGGAGCTTCTTGGAAGGGGGAAGAGAGAAAGACAGGGTATGCAAAGCTAGAACCCTTCATAGGTCAGAAGAATGGGAAAGCAAGGGATCCTTAGAAAATAATCTTTGCATTTAACTGCACAAATACGAGCACAGGAAAATATTTTATCAGACAGCACCAAGGGGTACTTTGTTTTATTTATTTATTGTCTTAATCCTCACCTGAGGTTACACTTATTGATTTTAGAGAGAGGGAAAGGAAGAGAGAGAGAGAGAGAGAGAGAGAGAGAGAGAGAGAGAGAGAGACATCGTTGTGAGAGAGAACATTGATTGGTTGTCTTCTGTACCTGCTCTGCCTGCGGATTGATATAACCTACAACCTTGGTATGTAGCCTGACGGGGAACAGAACCCACAACCTAGGCTTACGGGACGATGCTCCAAACAACTGAGCCACACCGGCCAGGGGGGCACTTTATTAAGAGCAGGCATGGTTGTCCTTCATGACAGCCACCCTGAGTTAGAGAGATGCGTCCCAGAGTCCCACCCTCCATGTGACTCTTCCACCAGAAATCCTTCCTGAACCTACTTATATTTAAAATTGTGCCACTCATGAGTTCCACAAGTTAAAGATGGTTTGAGAATTCTTAGATTTGGTTAATAATGCTAAATGCTGTCTACGCCTTTCATGATTTCAAAGGCTTCAATCACTCTAACTCTCTGTCCTTTTTCAGTGTCTGCTGTCTGAGAGAAGCCTCCGTTCATTTCAGCATTTTGGTTGGCTTCCCTGGACCTCCTCCAGCTCAGCTATGTTTTCTTTGCGATACAGCTGTCAGAATTAGTCACAGTATTCCAGGTGTGTGAGTCAGCTTTGCAGGAGGAACAGCAGACTTTATGATTTACTTTTAGCATCTTTTTTGTTTTGTTTTGCTAATTACCTAGTATTATTTTTGCTGTTACAATTTTCCCAGGGACAAATGTCTTTAAAAAACACACTGTAATGGTTTCTACCGCATTTTCTTTGGCTGTAACTATCCTTCTGGAAATACGGTTTGAACTCCTTGTTGCACCTGCCTAGCCTGTACCCACATGAAAGATGACTTGCTATTTTTCTCCATACCCTGGAGATTATAATCAGGGTTGGGGATCATAACCAGGAACACCCTGATGGAAATTCTAAGATAAGGTATAAGCATGGGTAACATAATGGGTGGGAGAAGGTACCCTTTGAGAGGAAGACAAAACCATTTGTAGGATGAGGAACCAAATCAAAGTAAAATTTGATTTCCAAAAGATCGTTAACGAAAGCTCTTTAATGCCATACATAAGTTTCATATTACGTGGTAGAACATTTTATTGGGAAGAGATAACTGACTAAACTTTATTTACAAGTGAGTGAGTCTATCCTGACTTATTTTGACTTAAGGGAGTTTCACACAATGAAACCTTCAGTTTGCTCACCTAGCAGACATAGCAGTGGGTTTTAGAGGGCAGGGGGTGGGGAACTCCAGGAGTTCCTGAGATAAAGTCACGGGGTCTGTGAAGTCAAAACTCTTTTCACAATAGTGGCAAGATATTATTTACCTTTTTGTTTACATTCTTCATGAGTGTTCAGAGTCGGAAATGTTCATTGCAGCTAACCTTTGACGACTACCACTTTTTGAGTTTTGGTGTAGTACCAAAGAGGAATATCCATAAATAACTAGAAAGATTATTAAAATACTCCTCCTACTCTTAATTAAATATCTGAATTTTCTTTGCATATTTTTAACCAAAGCAGCAAATTGAATATATTGAATGCAGCAGCAGATAGAAGAGTCCTGATGCTTTCTATTAAGCCATACAATTGAGATTTGCAAAAATATAAAACTATGTTACTCTTCTCATAAACTATTTTTGGAAAATATAGTTCTTTTTCATAAAAATATTATTTATGTTAACACACGATGGGTTTATTATTGTTATTTAAAAATGAATAAATAAGCATTAAAAATTTCTCAACTTAAATTTCTAATAAGAAATATCAATTGATGTAACTCATATAAACAAAAGCACTTTGGGATGCTCCATAATTATTGAGAGTGTAAAGGGATGCAGAAGCTAAGAAGTTTGGGAATGGTCAGACTTTGGAGAATCCAAATATCATTTCCTCATTCTTTGTGCACATGATTATTTACTTCTTCAAAGGTCCTGTATTATTCTTTGAGTCTCTAGGGCATTTACATTTATCTTAAAGCATAAAGCAGTTTCCTATTGGCATAGAGTCCCAAGGTAGAATAAAGGACATATAACAGCAAGAAAATACAGTAGTGATAGTATGATACGGAGAATCATGTCAATTTTACTTATTTTTGTGGTTCAGAGTGACTACCTAAAATTCAGTATTTAGCTTCCAAATAATAACTTTGTAAACTGGGGTTATTATTTTGAAAATCCAGGCTTTCTTTTTCTGTGGTGGTTGTGACCATGAAGAGGAAAAAAAAAATAAGTGAAAAGTCTGGGAAAGTCATCTAGTTCTTAAAAAGTTTAGGAAATTCTGTGCTTTCAAAGATGGGTAAGAGAGAAGCCTTCGAATTTTAGAGAGAATTGAACACTAAAAGAAAGGAAAGTTTATGAAACCAGCTACATTGTCCCGCTCCCAAGATGAGTAACGTTGCCGGCCGTGGCGCCATCTCGTATCTTACGAGCACTCCTCCTTCAGATGCATGTGAGATAGGACACGACAACATCTGATTGAGATCTAGCAGGGGCCAGCAGTTTCTCAGAAAATACAGCCGGGTCCTGTGGATTCTTGAGATGATCTTTCAAGTGGAAAACAAATTGTGCAACAGATGAAGTGCTATTGTAGTTGCAACCAACTACTTTTGAATGCTCAAAACAAAACAAAAACCAAACCAAACCAAACCAAACCAAAACAAGCCCATACCAAGGAGCTCTTCTGGATGGAAACAGATGGAATTTAGAGACAGATGTGAGCCTTCCCATGAGAAGTTAGATTTACTGCAAAGTAAAACAACAAGGCTACGCATCTGCCCACAGGGAATGACGCTCTGACAGCTGGTGTGGTGAGCAGAGTAATGGCCTCCCAAGCATGTCTGTGTCCTCATCCCAGGACCTGAGGACACGTTACCTTACAAGGCAAAAGGACTTTGCAGATGTGATAGGAAGGACTTGGAGATAAGGACATTTTCTTGGATGATCCAAGTGGACCCAGCTTAATCACAAAGGTTCCTAGAAGCAGAGAACCTTTCCTGGCTGTAGTCAGAGAAAGGGAGACGTGACTAAGAAGCATGGTTAGAGATGCAACGTTTCTGGCTTTGGAGGTGGAGGGAAGGACCATGAGTCATGGGATGTTGGTGTCCTTTAGAACCCAGAAAAGGCAAGGGAATGGATTTATTCCTAGAGCCTCTGGAAAGGAATGAGACCCTGTTGGACTTCTAATTGAAGAAATGCAAGTTAATAAATTTGGGCTGCTTTATACTACTAAATTTACGGTAATTTGTTATGGCAGAAAGTGAATACGGCTGGATTGAAATTGATAACCCGATGCCCAGCTCTTCAATTTCATTTCCAGTGCACTGATTCTGGGTCTATGCTGTCTAAATCAGTTGACCAAATAATAAGTTAGGCGGTCAGTGGGACACATGTTGCTTTTCTGTTTCTTTTGTGAGGACCCCATTAGAACCTATTTCTAAGTCTTTGGGCTCAATAGTGAATGAGGTAGGAAGGCAGTTCCCTGGGGAAATCATTCCAAAATCTTGCCTCTTCTTTTCGTGGACAAGAGGAAGAGAAGTAGTGAAGGTTTAATAATTACTTAAATCAACAGTATAGTTTATTGTGTTTAAGGTACATAGATGTATAAATTTTAGTTTACAGAAGAGAGTGGGTCCAAATAAATGTTAACATTTTTTGTTGTTGTTAATTTTTAAAGCCTTGTCCTAATACTATGACAGTGATACGGGAAAGGTCAAGGTGGGACATGAAAAAATGAAAAAAAAAACCCCCACAAAACAACACACCCCAAATTCGCTAAGCTGCTTGGAGTGTGAGAAGAGCACTTTCTGTCTCTTCCCCCTTACGCAATGCTGTTGACTTAGGGCCAGAGGTGCCTGGAGGAAAGACCAGAATGTACGAATGATAGCAGCCGTGGCAAGGGAACAAGGCAGGAACTCTGGATGTAAAATTAGAAGTGCCAGAGTGGTTAGAAGCCAGCCAGGAAGTGTGCCAAGCTATGAAAACATCAACGCCTGCTGCCTTTACATGCTTCCTTCCCCTGGTATGGGGACCCGACAATCTCAGTTACGTTTACATTCGGCATTTTTATTTGGAAACTTTGTACACGTTGTCACTGATTTTTATGTAAAGCCAATCATTTGTGTTAAATGATTGGCTTTAATTCCTGAAGAGTAATTTTAGTACATCTTAGGGCCAACTGTTTTCCTAGGAGGTGACAGCTGGAAGTTGGGGGAGGGGCAGGGAGTCAGCTTGCCTGAAAGAATTTGATTTTTAGACAACTTCCCCCCAACTGTGTCCATTCAAAGCCTACCTACACTTCATAAGCCCAGCAGAAAGGGACTACCTATTTGCCCAAACCTCCTAGAACATGCTGAACATCACGGTAAAAAGAACATAACATCTAGTAAAATTGCTAAGCAAGAAGTTTAGAGCTACCACTGTAATCACTTGTGTCTTACCCAGAGGGTGCCCCAAGTCCAATATAAATTTCTATCAGGAGACAAGGAAAGCAAACTTTTAACCAGCTGCACATTTTATTTGAAGTCTCAGGGCACTTAGAAAATGCCTCATGAGCATAAGGAGGTTTAATTGCAAAAGCTATGCAGTTGGAGAGTGAAAAGCAATCAGAATGGGAAGGAAACGAGTTTTCTATGTGGTCTGAATTTTACCCCCCAGCTACGTTTAGCTTATAGAAAGCCAGCATTTGTAACGATTCCTGGCTTTCTCCTACTGGTCTAGGAAGATTGAGTTCATTTAATTTCCCAAGGCTCCAGAAGTTTCCATGAATTTCATCTCACAACTAATGTTTGTAGGTCTCATTTCTCCTGTCTCTTAAAGTCCCAAATAATACTTTAGGCCAGGGATGGCGAACCTATGACACGTGTGTCAGAGGTGACACGCGAACTCATTTTTTTGGTTGATTTTTCTTTGTTAAATGGCATTTAAATATATAAAATAAATATCAAAAATATACATCTTTGTTTTACTATGGTTGCAAGTATCAAAAAATTTCTATATGTGACACGGCACCAGAGTTAAGTTAGGGTTTTTCAAAATGCTGACACGCCGAGCTCAAAAGGTTCGCCATCACTGCTTTAGACAGTATTTTACTGTAAAGTGACATTGGCAGACATTGCGTCGTAGGTACATGCTACCCATCCGCATTAACCATGATCAAATAAACTTCCAACCAATGAACACAGGGCACAATGCTGGTGTTCTGACCTCAGAGAATGATGTCTAAAATATCAAGAGAAGTATGGAAAAATGTTTCACCTCATTACATAGAATGTTATTTCCCTGTGACTTTTTTCTGTAACTAAAGCTGAATCAGAACATCCAATAAATTTATACAGGGTGAATGTACTTCTATAGAAACCCTATTCTTTCCCGGGCCAGAGAATGCTGATAAAATGTGGGGAACGGGGAACGTAAGAAGTGAGGTGAGGTGGGAGCCGCCACAGGGAAGTGCTGACTTAGCTTGGATCCACGGAGAGATCGCTGGAACAGGAGTCGGGGGCCTGGGTTTTGGCCTTTCTTTACCTCAGCGAAAGCATGAGCAGATAGAGTAGTCCCCCCAGTGGATAGTACCAAACCCTACGTATGCTATGATTTTTCCTATGCATACATACCTAGATACAGTTTAATTTATAATTTAGGCACAGTAAGAGAGGAACAACAATAATAGATAAGAAAACAGAACAGTCATGACAATATACTGTTGTAAGAGTTATGTGAATGTGGTCTCAGTTTCTCTCAAAATACCTATTGGACTGTACTCACGTTTTCAGTTAAAAGAAGTACATACAGCTTCTCTTTGGCACATCCCAATTGCCGGCATCGCCACTCTTGCGCGTTGAGGCCACTCACCATTAAGTAAAATAAGAGCTCCTTGCACATAGGCACTGTGATCTGTGACAGTTTATCTGACAACCGAGGGCTACTGGGTGACTCACAGCTGGGGAGCCTACAGCATGGAGGCGCTGGACAAAGCGATGATTCACACCCGGGCGGGATGGAGAGAACCCGCCTGAGATTTCATCACAATTTAAGCTTATGCATTGTTCATACCTGGAACTTTCCATTTAATATTTTTGGACCACAGTTGACTGTGAATAACTGAAACCTCAGAAAGTGACACTGTGGGTAAGGGGTGTGTGTGTGAGGAATATTGTATTTAATAGTTCCTCATGTGAGTTTCTTCTTCTGAATCATGGTGTCAATAACACCTACCCTTGGCATTATTGTAAAGGCTATATTAGGAAAAGGAAGCAAGACATCCCATAGGATACCTGGCACACAGATGCTTAATGTGGTGAGATTTATTCTTTCCTGAGCCTTAATTTAGAAAACTAGGATAGTCTAGTACCCATCTGATATCATACATAGTTATTACGAGAGGCTTGGTGCATGAAATTTGTGAATGGGGTTGGGGAGGGGGCCCCTCAGCCCCGCTTGCACTCTCTCCCAATCTGGGGTTCCTCAGGGGATGACCAGCAGTTGGACATTCCTCTCACAATCCTGGACTGCTGGCTCCTAACCGCTCACCTGCCTGACTGATTGCCCCTAAACACCTCTGCCTTGTCCCCGCCACCACAGCTTCTTCAGGAAGGATGTCCAGAATGATGTCAGGAAGGTCGTTTGGCTGTCTGGTCTAATTAGCATATTACACTTTTATTATTATAGACTAGTGGCCCGGTGCATGAAATTTGTGCATGGTGGGGGTGGGGGGGTGTCCCTCAGTCCGGCCTGCACCCTCTCCAATCTGGGACCCCTTGGGGGATGTACGACTGCCAGTTTAGGCCCGATCCCAGGGATTGGGCCTAAACTGGCAGTTGGACATCCCTCTCACAATCCTGGACTGCTGGCTCCTAATCGCTCACCTGCCTGCCTGCCTGGACGCACATAACTGCCCCCCTGCCGGCCTGGTCACTTCCAGCTCCCCCCACCCACTGGCCTGGTCGCCCCTCACTAACTCCTGTGCTGGCCTGGTTGCCCCATGCAGCCTGCTGTTCAGTCGTTTGGTTATACCTGCCATCCTAGTAGTAGGCAGCCATCTTGTGAGGGTATGAGGGTTAATTTGTATATTACCTCTTTATTATATAAGATGTCTC